AGTGGACAACTAAGCTGCCCTTTTCCAGAAGCTGGGGGGCTGTGGTTAGCAGATACGAAAGGAATGACTTTTCCTGGCTAACAGAAACTCACTTTATAATGTTTCTGAGGAATGCTGAGTTTTGGGTTTCAATTCTTCTGATTGACAGTCAGAGTCCAGCCTGAGCTGAGCCCAGATTGCAACCTATGATATCGCCAGTGGTGCTGCCATTCTGGGGGCCGGGATGACGGGCATGCGCCACCATTCGGAAACTGCATCTTCCTAATACATTTCTCAATCTTCTAAACCTTGGGTTGCCCGGCTCCCAGCACCACCACCAGCAGAATGGCCAGGAAGAATCTCATGTCCTACTAAGATTTTGAAAGGATGTGTTCCAACTACTAATTACTGTGTCCTCTGCATGGCCTTCTCATCGGGAAATTGCTTTCTCAAACCCTTAAGTTTCTAACATGAAAATGTATGCATTTTTCATCCCTTCCCAAAATGATGTTGATTGGGTTTGTCCTTTCTAGCTGCCCTCAAGAGCCTGATAGGCCCACTATTTCAATCTCACCTGTAACCTAATTTGAAGATCACTTCCCAGATACACTTTATAAAAAAAATTTTTTTTTTTAGGCAAATGACAGCAGACAGACAATCTGCGACCTCAAGGCAACAAGGCAGAGGCAGTAGCTGTGCGGAATCCACTCCTCTTGGGGACAGATTTCAAACCTCAGAATCTGTGACAAATCCCTCGGAGACGAGGCTGAGGAACCTGAGTTTGAAATCATCATCAGGCATGCCCAGCCTTTCGACACAGTGACATGACATCACCGTCTGCAGAGCCCGTGCTCATACAGAGCAGAGCACCAGAGATGCAAGAAGCGTCTCGGGTCTTAAGTTTGCCGTCTGTGTTGGGTGGTGTTTGAGACATGCTGAAGGACATTTAATTTCACCACTGTTCCATATTCAGCTTAGACTCGTTCCGTGTTTTCTTCTATTGGATCGCCTATCTCAGGAGCTAATCAGCTCCTGTTCAGAGTCAGCAGGGAGCCTCTGACAGATCTATTCCCACCTTAACCATTAGCCCTGTGCTTGGCAAGCACTGGTCCTGCTAGGCCAGAGCCCTGTTAAAGCCTCTTCCATCTATCCCAAGGGGTGAGGTGGTTTCTCCTTCATGCACGTGACTTCTTGATGTGACAGGTGATACGACATCAAGTCATCACGTCGGTCAAAATGTCATTGCCTGGTGGCACCTTCTCTTTTAGCTGTTAAGAGCACTTGCTGCTCTGCACAAAACTGCAGCTTGGTGACAAACCCACGCTTCACTGATTTGGACACCGACCCCAAGGCTCTGCAACTATGCCAAGCGCAACAGCCTTGCACCAGAAGACCTGGTCCTACTGGGATCTTTTCGACAACGCCTTACAAAGTGCTTCTGTGGGATTCCTGCAACACCAGCAGTACACGCGAGAGAAGTGATGGCCACAGGGACAAACACGGCCGGTTTGCACGCGCACAGGTGATGACAGCAGTGACATCACAAAGGCTGCAGGCCTGACAGTGACAAGGGATCGCTCAGAAGACAACCCCCAGTTTTTAAGAGTGCTCGGCAATATAAACTACAGATCTGATGGGGTGGATCCCGCCCCTTCCTACGCAAGGCACTTGGTGTGGCTTCTGGCTCCGGACAATGGTAATCAACAGCACAGCAGAGACAAGTCCTCTGGAGACCAAACCCCCTTTAATCAACGAGCTTCACCGCTGCGAAGAGCATAGGGAGGCTTGGGTCCTCTCAGCTACAGCTCTGCGGGAAGCAGAGGTTTGGGAGCAGAATGATACCACTCGAGACGCTACTAGTTCTCAACCAGGGGTTGAAATTAGAGAAGGGTCAAGCTCATCTCAGTCACCAGGGTTGGGAGCAGTCTCTGAGGTGCTGAAGAAACAAGAAACTCCCCTTTAGGCCAAAATGTCTAAAGGGAAGAAAGAAGGCAGCAGACGTTTATTGAGTCCTAGGTACAGTAAGAGCTTTCACTGACACCCACTGTGTGCTTCTGTCCGGCCTGTGAAGTAGGAAAATTACCCTCATTTCATAGAAAGGAAATGGACACTAGGTAAGGTTCTGATGACCAAGCCCAGGGTTGCCCGGCGAGTGGGTGATAGAGCCAAGGCTGATACTGGGCATCCATGCCGGCCAGAGCTGATCCCACGATTAGATAAGAGCACCATGGATGTGGAATCTCGGCCCTACTATGCACCCCTCCTGTCCTAGAATGCATCTCTCAGTTCCCTACACGTATAATTGAATGTCGTCTGATATTGAAAACCTTTAAAATGTTTTCTCTGAAACAACAGAGGGTTCCAGCGATCAAGGACATGTAGACAGTGAACTCATGTTGTACACAAAATTGCCCCCTTGGAACATCCAAGGCAGTTAATATGCTCGGTTGCTTCCAAAGCACGTGTTTCGGGGAACTGTTATGCTGATTAGCAATAATTATAATCTACTCATTAAGAAATGTCCCTAAGAGCTGCTACAACAGAACACTTCATTGCTGGGTTTAAGTTACTCTGTGTACTCGAAAATAATGAAGCTACGGCCCTTTTAAAAATTATCTAATTTAGGCTTTTCACTCACTTATGCTTCTCTGCATGGACTGCAAATGAAACAGGCAGTGCTAAATTAAATGGTAGTACTCTCTAAGGTCCAGAGTAGCAGCCCTGGGGCCAACACGCCAGCTTTGCAGGGGGTGGGGGGGGGTGGGGGGGTGGTAGAGGAGGGAGGAGGCTGGGGAAGATTCAGACCTGAAAGACATTCCCTGAAGTCCACTCCCAATTTCGTAAACATTTGAGTTTCAAAGAACTTGGTTCTCCAAAGAGTCCCAAGATGCCTTGGACATTTAGTGAATGGAGTTGCTAGAATTTACTGAGAGCCACCTTAAATCCTTTAGGAGCAAAGCCAATATAAACAATACACCAAGACTGACAACTTAGTATCAGCAAGTAAGTACTCAACGGGTTGAGGGCTTTATCTCCAGTTTTAGTTATGAGAAGCACACAGAGAAAGCCAAGGATGGCTGCAGGGAAACCACAGGAACACCAGAAACTATCACAGGGCTGCGAGAACAGGAACCGTGACAGCTGCCTTCGTGGAAACCATAGCCAGGTCCGTTAAGCTCCAACCTCCACAAATCCCATGAATCTAAGGCAGGCACATGGAACTGTACACATGGGGGGAGCAGTAAGCTACTCTGGAGGCCAAGGCAAGATTTCCTGAGTCCAGGAGATCAAGATCAGCCTGAGTAAGACAGCAAGACCCTGGCCTGCCTCAAAAGAAGAAAAGAAAGAGAGAGAGAGAGAGAGAGAGAGACAGAGACAGAGACAGAGGGAGGGAGGGAGGGAGGACAGGAGGGGAGGAAGAAAGAAAGAAGGGACGAAGGCTGAATTTTCTGCGAGGACCTTTCTCTTTACATCTATTATTTTGCTCTCACTTGCAGGAAACAGACCACCTGCTGTAGGACAATGGTGTTTACCCTGTCACTTGTATTTTAATAAAATGCTGACGGGCCAGTAGCCAGGCAGGAAATAGAGGCAGGGCAACCAGAACGGGAGAATTCACAGGCTTCTGTACTTGAATACTTAGTGATTGGTGATGCCAGCTTGGGAGACTGTGGAACCTTTTTATCTGACACTTACCAGGGAGATGGAGGGCCGTGGAGATGGATTATAGCTGGCCATTTCCTACCTAAGGTGTTTGCAGCCAAGATGAGAGTAAAGGAAGATTCTCCTCCGGTCCCTTCTTCATCAGGACACTGCGCTAATAAAACCGACCCTTCTTGCCCTAAGTTGCTTCAGTTGGGTTAACTGGTCATAGTGACAAAAAAAAAGTAATATAGGGGTGTGGTGGTTAATCCTGTCACCTTGACAGGAGCTAGAATAATTTGGGGGGACAAAGCTCTGGGTGTGTCCGTGACAGTTTCAAGATAGAGCTAGTGGAAGTAGGAAGACCCATCTTAAAGGTGGGTGGCACCATTCTGGGTCACGTGACAAGTTCAGCAATGCAACTACAGTGGCTCTTCCCCAGTCTTCCTTTCCTTGCTTCTCCTTCGCCTCCCTCCCCCATCCTCAGGGAAACTCTGTAGAAGGTTTTCTCTGTTAACAGCCACATCCTTCTCTCCCTCCTCCTGCTTAGTACAATATCAACCTGATTCACAGGAGGTACTCGGAGCTTGAAGGCGGAGGATAAATTTAGCTATTCAATACCGGAGATGATGACATTAATAACACGGGCTTGGGTGCGGCTCAGGATCGCCAATCACATCTCCTATGCTTCCCAGAAGTCTGGCTAGTGGAAGGGATACGGGACGCAGCTGCTAGCATCCATGGCCCCTTCTATAGATTGCTTTGGTACAAAACATTTCAAAGGTGCCTTCTGAGACAGATGTTTCTAAACAAGCTGACTACATTATTCCGGGGGGCACATTATGCAAATGAGATCCACACAGGCTGACAGGCCCTCTGGAGGAGACTGGTTGACAACGTCACAGAGGGACGCACGCGGTCTAGGGCCAGCAGTGGTCTGCAGGAGAGCTACAAGAGCTCAGCCACCCAGGGACAGCCGGTTTGATCTGTTTAGGGACACCTGGAGCTCTCCAGCACCGGCTCCTCAAAGGACAGAACGTGCTGCACATTGTTTGTTTCTGCCAGGACTCACAGGGCTGCCGGCTCTCCCACCGGCTTGACACGGGCGGCAGATGTGAGCATGCTTCCACATGAGGACGCGCGATTACCCCCGCGTCTCTGGAGCTAACAATCACCAGCAGAAAGCCCTCGGGAGGGGAACAATCCTGGCAAATGACCGCCTTTCATGCGGGCACTACTAGCCACTCAGCACACCCAGGAGCAGCTGCCGCATCAGGGCCTGGTGTTCCTCACAGGCCTTCTCTCTCTCAGCCCAAGTAGCCACAGAGCACCAGGGAAACATCAAGCAAGAGACAGTTTCATAAGAAAATACTAAGACTTTATTTTCTCTTATAAAGAGCCCTGCTTGTCGGAGAAGTGGAAAGGAGTACATAATTCTCAGGAGTAAACATGATTCACCTGCTGCAGGTTTCAGACCGGAATGCCAAAGAGTGGCACCCAGGGGAAGGTGTAACGCTTCTATCTTCACAGCCATAAAATGCTAAGTAAACAAAATAGAATGGACATAATGCTAGGTGTTCCCACAGGGAAAAGCGAGAAAACTTTAAAAACGACCAGCCGGGTAACGGGAAAACCAAGGCCCACCAGGTTGCACCCCGTCCTCCGTGCCTCTCAGGCTCTGTCTTAGGTGAGGGAGGGCTTCCAGTCTGGAATCCCCAAAGCCAGCAGCCAGCGGCTCTTGCTCTGGAGTCCAGGGCGTCAAGCAGGGGCGAAGTCCTGGGCAGCGCGGCTGTGGTGGGGCAGCGAGGTACAGCAGTGTCGCATGTGGAAGTTGACAACGTATTCTGCGTTAGTCCTCTGCACAGAAATAGCGAACGGCTCAAAAGGGTGAAAGGTGAAGGCCACGAGGCGCCGCACTGTGTGGTTGATGGGGCGGCCCAGCAAGCCTGCCTGGATCTCAAACTTCAGCAAGCCAGAGTCTCGGGCATAGAACCTAAACAGAAAAGAGACACGGTGTTGCTATCGCTGCCATCTTGAAATCTGGACAGCAGGGGATAGAGACACTCAGTATCTCATCTGATAAACAAAAAGGCCTCTTGCGGCAACTGCAGCTTAGTAGAACCAAAAGCCACCTTATCTGATCAGCTCACCTTAGAAGAGAGTGAGTGTAAAGTTAACTCCTGTCCTTAATTGGTGACCACTCCTCAAGATGACCCTGAATTAGACTCTAAACTACATACAACCTTTTGGCTTCCAGAAGCCCCTGTCAAAAGACTAAGCTGGCATTACAAATGAAATGCCAACAGCAAGTCTAAGCTTCATGTGTAACTTTAAATCTTTGAAGAGCCACATTAAAAAGATAAAAAGTAAAACAAAAAGTGAAATTTATTTTGTAATATATTTATTTAATCCAATATATCCAGAATACTACTTAGTCATTATAACCCACAATCACTCAAAACAAAAAAAAATCACGAGCTACCACATACTCTCTCTGTCACTATGTCTCTGAAATCTGAAATGTACTCGACACCTCAGCTTGGCCTCATCTCGCACTAAGTGCTCAACGGCTCAAGTGCTGGCGGCTAGAACAGTGCCGCTCTGAGCTCATCTTTAAGATTTCCATGTTTAAGAACAAATTCTTACACATGCATGCCTGTAATCCCAGCACTCTGGAAGACAGAGCAGGAGGTATGGAATCCAAGGCCAGCCTTGGCTGTATAGCAAGTTTGAAGCTTACCTGGGCTAAATGAGAGTATCTCAGTAAAAAAAAATAAATTCTCTCTGAAGGCTGTCATTTTTCACATACAGAAATTAAATCACATGCTAGGGACACAGCTCAGCAGCAGGGCACCTGCCTACAAACAACATGGCTAGTGGTTTGGATTTGGATTTTCCACCTCACACAATTGACAAAAGATATTTCTGAATGGCTTGTGATTTGGGAAACTCGAGATGATAACAGGCTGGAGGAGAGTTCTGAACCAAACGGAGAGTTCAGATTTCCTTTTCTAGAGGGCAGGTAGAGAAGCAAGTCTAAAGGGACTCAGACTCTGCATTGTTACTAGTATTTTCTTCTTATTATTATTTTGCAGAGCTAAGGCTCAAGTCCAGGGCCCTGCACACACTAGGGAAATGTGCCTCCCCTGAGCCCAAGGATATTTAGACTTGTTGATACAATAATCCCATCCCCAAGAATTCATATCCTCAGAATTTAAATGATCAACAGTGGCATTATCAGAGTTGCTTTAACGTAAAAATGCACAGAAGAGATAGGCAGAAGGCTAGAGAGATGGCGGCACGTCTACCTGAGGGGACAGTGTGTCAGTGTACGGAATGTGTGTCCCAACGGAGGGTCATTCCTGAAGCTAAAGCAGTGGGCAAGCCACAGTACCTGCGGTGATTAAAGCTACAAATGAAAACGTGAACAAACACACACATTGACAGAGACCAGAACAGAAATGACAGTGAAGGCGTCTGACAACACGGCCTCTTCAGAAGCCCCTAGGATCCTTCCAGTTCTCGTTTTAAGTAAAAGCATGACGTAATTCTGAGAGAAGCCTCCTCAGTCATAGCAATGGCACTGCAGGTGTTACTTAGGCTCATCTTGTCAAATTGAAAAAGACGGGGAAAAGGCAAGGACAGAAATGTATCTATTTGACTAAATCAAATGAGGCCCATTATGTGCTTTTATGCATAAAAAGCACATTAACCTACCCACATAGTTCCCAACACATACGGGGTTCATAATTTAAAAGTGAGCTGTTTGTGCTTCTAAATCTAACTACCAATTTGTAGGAAAGCAGGAGGAATGAAAAAACATAGTAGCCACTACTCCTAGCATGCAATGAACAGAGTCCAGATGTGAGGAAGACGACAGGATGAACAAGATGGTGATGAACAATGATGTCACTGCAAGAAAAATAAAGAGAAAAGTAAACCCATAAACCGGGCGGTGGTGGCACACGCCTTTAATCCCAGCACTCTTTGGGAGGCAGAGGCAGGTGCATCTCTGTGAGTTCGAGGCCAGCCTAATAGTCTACAAGAGCTAGTTCCAGGACAGGCTCTAAAGCTACAGGGAACCCTGTCTCAAAAAACAAAAACAAACAAAAAAGGAAACCCATAGACTAGGATTTTAACAGCAGCAGCCACATGCATATGAACCTTGTTTAGAAATGAGTCAAACAAAGGAACTGTGCAAAGAATATTCATAGGCAATAGATGGAAAACTAACTAGATGCCTGGTGGCATTAGCAAATGTGTGTTTGTTCTGAGGCGGGTCTCATGTATCCCAGGCTGGCCTCAAACCTGCTATGGAGCTGAAGAAGATCTTGACCGCCCAAGTACACCACCAGGTGTGCAACACCACCACTCCACATTTATGTGGTGCTGGGAAGTGAACCCAGGGCTTTGTGCAGGGTAGGTAAGCATTCTACCTACGGGGCTACATTCCCAGCCATTGATGAAGTTTTGTTGATGTTGTTTAGATAGGAAGATATCAAGGTTTTCACTGTTTGTTAAAGCTTGTTGTCTTTTAGAAATCCACACCGAAATGTTTATGGGTAAAATTCTAGGGAAACTGGGATTCACTGCAAAATAATCAGAGCAGCAGGGAGGTGGGGAGTGGAAAGGGCTGGTCAGGAGCTGATAACCTTTGAAGCTAGGAGGCACAGACCATCAACACAGATAAAACATTTGCCATAATAAAAAAGTTTTGATTTTTTTGTTTTATCAAATTTCAGAATTTGAGTGCAATTTCACAAAGGAAATACTAGCAATAGTGATTAACTATTCAGAATATGTTACACAGACCCATTTAACACACAGTGGAGCTACTGATGAAAACACCACAGCTGGGTGAGATAGGCTTTACCTGTAGTCCAGTGGGGGCGGGGAGATGAGGAGCTGCACGTTAAATTCAAAACCAGCTTGGAGAAGAAGGGAAGGAGGAAAAGAGAAAGGAAGGGAGGGAGGAAAGGAACGAAAACTGTAAACTCTGAGTACTATTGTTTCCATGTGAAAAGACCTTCCAAGCTACAGTTTAGGGCTCCAGTCCTCCTGGCAGGCAGCCCCACTAGAGACAGATCCAGTTCCTCTTGGTGGTATCGATAACAGCATAGGCTCCAGATGTAGAGGAACGGGTGTGACTCAGGAAAGAAGGATGCCTACAAGGGGCTAATTTTAAGACCCCAGCAGTAGGAGCTGGAAAGACAGATAGCTCAGTGGTTGAGAGTACTTGCTCTACCAGAGAGCCTGGGTTCAATTCCCAGCACCCATGTGGTAGCATACAACCACCTGTAACTCCCAATATGATGGTTCATAACCAACCATAACTCCAGGTCAGGGGATCTGGCACCCTCTTCCGACATCTGTGGGCACCAGATACACACATGGTGTACGCACATATATGTAGGCAAAATACTAATATACATAAAATAATCTTAAACAAACAAACAAAAAGATTCTACAACTAAAAAATTATCTCCGCCTTTTCTACTTAGTAACAAAGATAAAATGATTTCTATAAGATATACTGAATGCAAAATCTGTTAAGGAACACCATTAGGTTACTAAAAATGAAAAATACAGCTCATTTTCTTGTATGCTTTTACTTTTTCTTTTGTTTTATTTTCAAGACAGGGTTCCTCTTTGTAGACCTGGCTATCCTGGAACTCACTGAGTTGAACAAGCTAGCATCAAACTCAGAGATCCACCTGCCTCTGCCTGCCAGTGCTGGGATTAAAGACATGCATCAGTCACTGTCTGGCTTCCATGGAGACTTTTAAAAGCAGACAGCATTTATCTGAGTAAAATGTTTTCACTGGGAGCCAAGAGCAGCAGTAGCTAACTTCTGAGAAAAACACCTAAATGATCCGACCCCTCAGCACTCAATAGAAACAGCCTTCCTGCCTGGCGGTGTTACTGCATACCTTTAATCCCAGCACTTGGGAGGCAGAGGCAGCGGATCTCTGTGAGTTCGAGCCCAGCCTGGTCTACAAGAGCTAGTTCCAGGACAGGCTCCAAAGCTACAGAGAAACACAGTCTCGAAAAACCAAAAAGAAAAAAAAAGAAAGAAAGAAAGAAAGAAAGAGAGAAAGAGAGAGAGAGAGAGAGAGAGAGAAACAGAAAGCCTTCCTTTCCTTTCAGCCAAAGCACGAGAAGAGACTGTCAGTCACTGAGCCATGTCAGAGAAGAGGACAGAGAAGGCACGGTACCCTCCGTTTGAAGCAGTTTGGAGCTGTGGTCATAACAAAGTACCTGATTGGGTGATCTCCACAAGTCTTGGGTCGCTCCATGACTGACACCCACTTGTCATCGTAGCTGAAGAGAGACAAATCCAGGTAGGGGCTGCCACTGTAAGACTGGGCACTGATGGGGAGCTGGCCTAGCAGCCGACGCACAGCCTCCGTGTGGCCTCCATACTTGGCATTTATAATCGTGTCTTTGAACCTAGAACAAAGGACCAGTGAGAAAGGCTTTCTCACGCTCACACACACGCTACACACATGCAGTAGCTTTATAAAAGATGTAAAATCGCCACTTTACCTGCAGCTCTTGTAAACTAGGGCTTTCACCAGCTGTTCTCCTATTCAATGCATCTCGGAAACCATCCTGAACCTCATTTGCCAGAAAAGGAAAGGTTCCTTAGAGACCCTTTTAGACATAACCAAGAAGCCACCAAAACCAGTATATACAGCTACTGGAAAGACATTAACCACAACTCTCAGGTGAGGGCCCCATAACCACGTGGCTATGACTCACCCTTTCCTGAGCGCCTCTCTAGTAACCCTTGTTCTTAACCCTGTTCTTAGATCTGTTCAAAAGGTCTTATAACTTCCAATTCTGCTACGCCCTGGCTCATCCTAAGATTCTTTTCTGTTGTCATGACACGGATCTGCTTGCACTCCAGTGAAGGTACCCATAGGACAAGGGAACTCCTCAGGCTACTGCAGATGGCACCATGGAGCTGTGTCTCTGTCCCTGTCACAGTGACAGAAACATGATGGGAGCTGGCTCCTGGCTTTGATGACCCCAAAGCACCCAGGGCAACCTACGCTATCTGTACATTGAATCAGTTCCTAGTCTTCAGCAACACCCACCATATCTCCATCCTCCCAGCTCTGCACTGCCTGAAACATGAAGAAGCCATCCTTCTGGTATCTGTAGCGCTTAGCCCTTGGCTGTGTCACTCTGCCCAACTAACATCTCTTAATTCTAAGTGACTTTAAAATTCTCAGTAGCCATCCTAACGACATGACCTCCCATCCTAACTTCCTCTCACCCTGTAACCACTGTAACCCGAGGTGGCCCATCCCATGTTCCGGCCATCCTCTGTCTCCCCAGATTCAGTCTAATCCATACCCCAGCTTCAACAATCCTTCAAGACCCGCTGACTCCACCAGCATTTTCCTCCCACCTAACACACCCATCGTGTCCTCTCTTCGTTAGCCACCTTACAATCCAGTTAACCATGAAACAGCTCTACTGCACACATGCTCTAAACCTTGAACTACAACTTAGATTGGTGCTCCAGTCAAGTTCAGCTCTGCTGATTCTGTGCCTGTGCTGCTCAGTTTCCTGCGGCTAGAGAAAAGCAAACAGTAATGCTTGCTTCGACCTTATGGCCACAAACCCCACGCAGGCCTTCAATGTGGAGGGATACTCCTCTGCGCTTCCACAGTCTGGCCTGCCTCCCACTCTCTGCACAGCTACCTCATCTGCCTCTGGTGTGTTACTGACGAATGCAGGGAAGCAGAAGAGAACCTCTAAGGTCTCCACAGAGCATCCGTCCTTGCATGGCACTCAGCAGATCTCGTCTCTCACATACGAGGCAGCATCTTTCTCTACAGGATCAGTCCCGTCAACACACAAACATGCCATTTTTACTTCTCAGTTTAAAATAAGGAAAACCATCTGGTTAGTGACAGAGGTCTGTGATCCCAGCTATTTGGGACACGGAGGCAGAACTGAAAGTTTAAGACCAGTCTGGGCAACTTGGTGAAACCCCTTAAAATAAAAAATGCAGAAAGATGGCTGGGATACAGTACTTGTCTAACACACCAGAGGCCCCTGGGATCAATCATCAGTGGGCAGCGGCAGAGAGGCAGAGGGAGCCAGAGGGAAGAGGGGGAGGGAGAGGGGAGGGGGAAGGGAGCTAGAGAGGAAGGAAGAGGGTTGGGGAAAGAGAGAGAGAGGAAACTCAACACCATCTGCCACTATGCTGGTCAAACACTGCACCATCTGAAGTTGTACAACAGTCATTTGTGTCCCCGGCCTGTCTCCAACTAGAAGCCCTTGTGCACTCCAATCCAGCCACCAGGCCTCGTTGATGTCTTTCAAAGGCTTCAGAACTCCTCTACCTTGGGTTCCTTATTGCCTCTGCTGAGTGTTATCTGTCTTCCTGGTGAACCACGGTAGCTCCTGGTCTCCTTCAACAGCTCTGCTCACATGCCATTGATGGCGCTACCAGAACAGCAGGAATGATACACTAAGGCCCTCCAGACTCCGGCCCAGCTCTGCATTTTCCTGAAACACTTCCTTCACTCTCTCAAACCCTCAGGTCTGATCTGTGAGGCTTGATCCTGCAGCTTCCCTTTCAGCGCCCTCAGTGCTCTGGCTCTGCTGATGAAAAACCATCCTTGTCTTGTGTGGCTTATCTTCCAAAGGCACAGAAAGGATGATTATATTTTTGGGTCTACAGATCTGGAAATATCTTTGAATATGGGATTCTCTTCTTTTCTTTCTTTCTTTCTTTCTTTTTTCTTTTTCAAGATGGTTTCTCAGTGTAACAGTCCTAGCTGTCCTGGAACTTGCTTTGTAGACCAGACTGGCCTCGAACTCACAGAGCTCGGCCCACCTCTGCCTTTCAAGTGCTGGGATTAAAGGCATGCGCCACCACTGTCTGGCTGAATATGGATTCTAAATGAGAAATCCTTTCACCAGGCATAGTGACAAGCATCTGTAATCCCCATATTCAGGAACCCAAGTCAGAAGAACTGTAAATTCAAGGCCAGCCTGGACTGTTCTTGTTGGTGGCACCAGGGGTGGGGACAGATTGAACCCAGGACCTGTGAGTACAGGAAAGTACTCTATCCCGGCATTGCATCTGCAAGCCCGTGAGATCACCCGTTACAATTCTCTGAAGGCAAGATCTCCACACTTGCAGCTCTGAGCACTGCCACTGTCACCGTTCTGATAACACGAGACATGTATGTTATTCCTCAGAGTTTCTGTGATTTACCGTCAGCTCCAATGTTTCAAAACGCCATGGCATGCCTCCATGTGGGCCTCTTCTCTCCAACTATACTAAGTACTTATTGTGGTACTTAGATTTTTCTTGGGGGGCATGACTTGTAACATTTGCCAATTTCTGTGGTGCAGAGCTTCCTGCTGTGGCCAGGTTCAAGGTAGCACTGTGATGTCACCAAACACTGTTGGAGATGAGCCACAGCACTTCCCTTTGTAGCTTCCACCAACAGATGACGATAACCTCAAAAGGACGGTAAGGCCAAAGTAAGGGAGTTATCTGCAAAAATTCCCAAGAGTTAACACTTGGCTCCAATAGCCACGGATGGTCGGGCCAAGCTAGACAGTTCCCTCCGTCAGAGTCAGAGAGTGCTCACATTGTTTCTACACCTTTGGTCCTTGAGTTCTCCTTTTTGGGAACGGCCAGGTAGAGAACTTTAGGGCAAATGCTCTCAACTTTTCTTTAACTTTCTTTCCATTTCTCTACCTGCTCCCTCTTTTTCCCCTCATAGAGTTCTTCAGCTTAATCTAACAAATTTTAGGTTTCCTAGAGCATCAGTGTTTAAGACACCCTTGTATTTGCAACTTCAGTTGTTTCAGGACTGCCTCTTCCTATGCTAGTCTGTTTGGTCTCTTAGGATAAAGGCATTTGCTTCTTAAATGATTCAGGACTCAACAGTCCAGTTTGTGTGTTTGCACGCTTTGTGCTAACCCATCAGCTACTCGCAAAGACTACTAGAGAACATTTGCCACACAATTTCCACTAAGAGTCACGTATTTACAAGAAATAAAAATGGAAACTCGGTTCACATGTACATTATATAGTCATTAAAGCAAACTACAATAGTGTGGCTAACAAAATCTACTCAGGACACATTTTGTGGGCAAGTGTACAAGGGCATTTATAACTTTCCACTCCTCAGTGGTATGAAACAAAGTCTTTAGGCTCACTGAATGAGCATGCAACTTCTCTCACGAGGAGCCTGCGGTGTTTCTCACTCTAGAGGAGTTCTGACACACTTTCCCAAGAGTGTCGTCCCACTCCTCCATGACAGGCAGCTCTGGGCTCTGCCCAGCTGACAGACGCTAGCCTTGGAGTGGACATGGCAGTGAACTGAAATCAAAATCACCTAGATGGTACTGGCCCGTGGCCACACCTGTGGCAAACTGCTTTAATTACTGATGAATGAAGGAGGGCCCAGCCCGCTGTAGAAAGGTGGTACCAGACTACACCGAAAAGCTAGCTAGGAAGGAGCTGGGAACAAGACACTAAGCAGTGCTCCTCTGTGGTTCTATATCGGTTCCTGCCTTGAATCTCAGCTCAGATTTTCTTCAGCGATGGAGTGTCTCCTAGAAGTGTCAGCTGAAATGAACCCATTCTTCCCCAGGGTGTTTTTGGTCATGGTGTTTATCAAAGCAACAGGAAGAAACGAGGACACCTTCCTTCTGTAACATGATAATAAGATAATTAACTTAAAAGCTAATTTTGAAAGACAATTCCTAGGTTCATTTGACAGCACTGCCCCCAAAAAGGGAGAGAAGTGGTACCCCACCCTGTAATCCCAGCACTAGGAAGTTTGAGGAGGGTGAATCACCTTGGGTCCAAGACCAGCCTAGGCTTCACAGTGAGACTGAGAAGGAAGCTGTGCTCCTAAGGCAGAAGGTAAGCGCACTGGTGAGAGGGCACAGGCAATGAGGTGTCAGCATCTCTCCATCTAACCCACCACTGTCCCTGTACACACAGAGCCACTGCATTAAGTCACCTTTTTGTTCATCTTTCCCAGAAGCAGTAATGCTCGCTCTGATTCATCTACTCCATGTGATCTGGCCTATTTGGGGATCAAAAACAGATATTCTCCATGCCTCGTTAAAGCTAGGGCAATTTAGGTATGAAAGACGAGGAGGCCTTACCTGACCACATCAGACTTAGAATGGGTTCTTGGCCCATTCTATTCCTTTCCTGCTAATGTACTAAGATGGTTCTTAGATAAGATGGACTTCTGGTTTGTCTTCTGTTCTTACGGTCCAGCCCTCTATCTCTGCACTTTACTTTTAGAGGGGTTTACCATAGAACAGATGTAAATGGATGTGTTCAATATGCAGTTCCAAAATGATCTCCATCACTCATTCCACAAATATTTAAGGGCTTGGCAGTGCACCACTGAGAATATAGCAATAAATGGAAGAAGTTTCTATCTTTCAGCAGCTCACATACGGCCTAAGAAGGACCCAGAAGATGCATAAATAATTACACAGGTCCTCAGAGATAGGAAAACTTGAGCTCTACACAGGAGTTGCTTCCAAAAGGCAGACCTCCCAAGGCCAGGTGGACAAACAGAATACATAGTTCCTGAAACAAATGGCTACCAGCCTCATACCAACCACTGAGAGTTAACCCTGGGAAGTCTGGCAGAGCAGCTTACCGGCGCTGGATCTGCCGTGCAAAATTGTTGCTAGAGGCGGAACAAGGAAACTGGACTTCACTGTGCAGGGTGGCATTGCGGAAGAGGTCACAGAAGTTCTCAAAGAGCTCCAGCAGCTCATCAGATGTATTCTCAAACACTGCGATCACCTCTGTTGTCACCATGTTGTACACCACGAAGAAGGAGGCCTGCAGAAGAAAAGAGGCACCCATGGGATACCCGTGCCTAGGAAACTGCCCGCTGGATTTAAAGTCCACACCCCACAACAATCCATTCAGGGACCCCAGCCTTGGCACTAGAGAGGGAGGGAACATGGCTCCAGAGCTTCTAGAAATGGAGGCAGTGGCATTGGCTCCATCGGTGGAGAGCCCTGATGCCACTAGATTACTCACGGCCACCATGCTGCTTGGATTACTAAGCTAGCCAGCATGTATATATAAAAAGGCTTTCAATCTTTCACTTCAAACTGTGCAAATTCAATATTTTTCTTTCCAAGTGTTTATTCCCCGACTTGTTCCCCGATCCACCCTAAGATTTAAAAAAAAAAAAAAAAAGTTTTAAAATGCCAGATTTAATTTTCTTTCCTGCTGAGAAAGTGATTTGCAGCCCAGGGCTGCCTGTTGGTAAATGATTTCCTCTTCTATGTGTACAGTTGAAAGTTCAATTTGGGGGCATTTATTTTTCCCCTCTTAATATTTCTAGCACATAGAGAGACACCTTAAGCACATTGTGTGCTCAAACTGCCCAGACAAGTTGTGTCCACGCAGGATACTGCAGGGGAACAAATGAAAAATCAGACGGGCATTTTCCATTTCTTTCTCCATAAATGTTCTTTCAGCCAAGAGCTTTTGTGAGATACATCTGAGATTTCTGACAATTAAGATTGGAGGGGGAGCCTGAAAAGCATTCAAATGCCATAGGTGGCAGGCTTTTTCTGAATGGGGCCACGGGTGGCTGGGGCTCTTCCTCGACACTCCAGTGCTCCCTCCGCCTTGCCTAGCAGGAAGCTCCAGGCACGTTGAGTTTGTGTCGCAGTGAATGCAGCAGTGTGCAGTAAAGCTGCAAGCTGCCTGCAGGATTCAAAGACGTCTTCAGGACACAAGGATTAGCGCTTCACCCTCCTCTGATTGAGTCTAAATCTCTATTACCCATCTTGGAGCCACTGAGCCCACCTGTCTCACTAGTAATTAGTCCTGCCCAGAGCTCCTTTTACATGACTTTGTACTCACCTGGAAATTAAATTTGGCTGCAAATTAAAGAGGCTGGAGGGCAACCTGAGAATAATACCCATAATATTACCAAGGCTTTGTCTATGGATGCAGTTTTTACTCATTAACCTTATGGGAACTTATCAAATTAAACAGGAGGAGGAGAGGAGAGGACAACTGGGGCACGGAGACTGGGTTTCGAGTTTCAAACTCCACGAGTTTGCCTCAGCTGTTACTGACTGGAACTACCAGAAAAAATAGGTCACCTTTTAGCAAAGGGAAGAAAAGGATAATCTCCGCACAGTGATAAAAGACAACTTATTCCTTCCAAAATAGAAAGGTAATTATAGCTGAAACCTAAATAAAAGACTGACTCATGTCCCATCCATAGACTAGGACACCGCTTTGATCATATCATGGTTTTAACAGGATCTTTCATAATTATGTGACTATAAAATTACACAAACACTTGTCAGCCTTCCTTCTACAGCAGACTGGGAAACTGGAGGAGAAAGAAGTCAAGGCCTCTTCCACCCATCTTCCATGACGCGAAAGATGAACTAGATGCTCACCGTGGTGGCATTGGAAGATATTTTACCACAGGCTGAGTGAGGCTTAGAAATGATGTCCTGTAGAATATCTCTTCCTTCCTTCGTCTCTCATACATATGACTCTGCCACACCTGGGCACACAAAGGCCTAAGGCTGATGCTGGGAGCCTTCTTTAGTCCCTGCCCATCCTACCCATTAAGGTGGTGCCTGTCTGTGGGACCCGAAACTTGCCGACTAGCCACTTTGCTCTGTCCCCACCTTCTGAGCACTGGGATTACAAGCAGACCACCACACCCACCTGGCACTTAGGTTGGTTCTGGGAATCCAAACTCCCCTCATGTTTATAAGCCAGATGTTTTATCCACTGAGCCAACCCCCGCCAATGTATAATACCTCTTGAAGGTAGAGCTGGCTGACGTCTTAGTTTGCTATCTGCTTTACTCTTCTATTTCTAAAATAGGGAATTCCAAACCCCGACTTTTGGTAAGGGAGCCACAGGTACAGAAAGTAGGCCTCTTACTCAGAGAACTGGAGAGCTTTTGAGAGACAAGTGTTCAGGGTTCCCTGGATTTCCAGAGGGTACTTTAACTGTCTCAGTACTGCCTGTGTGATTCCCTCCCAGCACTTCTCTGCCTTTGGTGTTTGGAATCAAAGTTATATGGTACTAACTGGTCTGGAACTCACTGCCCTTGAACCCAGGTGAGAATTTATGCAAGAAATTCTCTTTGCCTCCAGCATCCCACAGCTGGGATTATCAGCATTGTGAGTGCTCCATTAACCTGGCTGCAATGTCAGAGTTTAGATTTTTTTTTTTCAGTGCTGGGGACCCAAAGCCTCAAATGCTAGACAGGCTCTCTACCTCTGAGCCCCAAAGGACATGGAGTGCTCATTCTCACTGCCAGAACGTGTTTGGTTCAATAAGCAGCCTTATAAAAGTCCAGGCAGGATTATACATATGTGGTCCAAACCCCGACCTTACAGCATCCGGGTTCCTGTCTGACAGGTACTGAAAATGCCCCGTAGAACAACTGAACTAAGAAGCACAAAGCTGGCTGTCTACATGGCAGTGGCTTGACTTTTACCCTATATTTGTTAGTATGTGAGGGCAGACAACAAGGAAACTGACTTTAAATCTGAACCCAAGTACAGCAAGAACAGATGCTACGTAAAGGTGTGCACTCCTGCGGGGCTCGGCCCGTACCTGAGACGGGTCTGTGACCCGCAGGGTCACTACGTCCTCGCTGGTGTATTTGATGAACAGATGGTTTTCATCCAGCAGCTGCATCTTCCACATGCGCAGCTGCCGCAGCTGGTCAAAGTACTGGAAGAAACGCCTCTTGGCCATGGGGCTCCCATCCTGCTCTGCTCTGCGCCACAGGTACACCAGCAGGCGGTGCTTCAGGGAATTGATGAAAGGGTCCCTAAAGGGACTGGCCATGCCTGTCTGACTGTCCCGCTGCACCTCCGGGAAAACGGCTGACACCGTGAGCAGGTCATCCTCATAGCAGAAGCGGCCGATGGTCCGAACATCGATAAATGTGCCTTCAGGCGTCACCTGGAAGACGTGAATGGTCTGCTGCTGCACAGACAGGATGGCCAGGATGTTTTTGTACAAGTACAGCCCCTGGTTGTGTGACAAGACCACTTTGTCACACTTGAAGGTGCGCGTGTCACACAAACGGCCCGTGTGAAGGTCAATGATGTGAAGGGAATAGTCCTCCAGAGGGGACCGTGGATTGGGGGTCACGGACTCACTGTTCCGATAGACCTCATAGAAAGGAGGGTGCGGTTCATCTGGGAGATAGGCAGCGGAACCCACGATGACACACCGGCAGTCATCAGTGAAGAGGCTACACTCCCGGTTCAAGTGCTCACCGTTGGCTGCAACATTGGTAATGTGCAACAGGACGAAGAAACGTTCAAAAAGCCGGCCTCGGATGCTGACTGACCGCTGGTCATTGCCATTGGACAAGATCTCCCCTTCATAGCCTTGCAAGAGGTCCTCGGCTGCCTGGCAGCCCTGGTACTCATAAATCTCAAGAGATGTCTGGTCAGAAGAAAAAGCAATAAAGTAGCGCCCATCAGGTGAGAATTTACGCAAGAAACAAGGAGGCTTCTCAACGTTGACGACGGTGAAGTTAGGGAAGACATTCTGGTGGAACACCCGGACCTGATGCCAGTGGGCCCCCGCCCTTCCTGAGCTGATGCGCCGGCGTTCTAAGCGGTGAATGACATTCTGATTTTGGATTCTTCGGGGTTTGATGGTGGAAACATGATGATCCATTATAACATCTCTGCATAGGGGAAAAAAAAACAGAAATCAAGAAAACAGAACAAAATGTACTAATACAAGTACATGCAAAGTAAACAGATCACTTTTACTCTGGCTGAACCCAGGATCCCTGGACAACAGTGACCAGCATTTCTCCTTCCAAGATTAGAGTTGCACAGTGATCCTGACATATCTAACCCTAAACGTCTAAAAGGAGGATACAATACAGAAAGAATACCTTCCAAGTATAAGCTAACAGGAATTTTCAAAGAATAAGCCAACAAGTACATCAAACGTGAACAGCACAAAAATCACACACCCAGGGTACGGTGACACACAAGTAAAAACCACCACCACCACTCAGGAGGCCGAGGCAGGAATATCACTTCAAATTCAAAATTAGACCAGAATACAGACTGAAATCTTATCTTTGTTTATTTTTTAAACAGAATCTCATGTATCCTAGGTAGGCCTCGAACTTGGCATGAAGCCATGGATGACCGTCAACTTCTGGTCCTTCTGCCCCAAACCTCCAGTATTGGGATTACAGGATTGCGCGCCCACACCTTGTTTACGGGGTGCTGGGTCTCAAAGCTAGAGCCTTGCACGTGCTAGGCAAGCACTCTATCAACCTTGCTACTTTCCCCAGCCCCAGGAGCCTGTCTTTTTAAAATAGAGTAGCACTGAATGTACATATATATATACACCTACTGGGCTGTAAAGTGATAGATTAAAGCAATCTCTATCAAAATCCCAATGGGATTTTTGTGAAAACACAAAATTTCACCCGAAAGTAATATGAAATCTCAAAGAATGCCAAATAACTAAGATGATATGGAAAATAACACAATTGGAATGCTCATATTTCCTTATTCCAGAACCTATTACGAAGCCATAATAATAATAAAAGCATAACCATTGCATACACAGGCCAGTTGAAAAGAACAGAGTCTCAAAATAAACCACGATTAATCTTATTTATTGTGTCCAGGGGCAGCTTATACAGGGATCCTTAACTGATAGCCGAACCCCAACCAAACGCACCAGCACCCACTCCCCTGCCATCAGGAACTCCCGAGGGTCTCGTGCTCAGAGCAGCTGCAAGCATTACAAGTTGTTTTCCAGAAATTCAGGATCTGGGGGGTTCACAGCTCCCAATGTGAGGACTCTGGTCTAACCAATGGATTAATAGCTCACGGATTCACAAGCCAGCACTACTGGGAGGTGACGATGGGTAGAAGACCTCAGTGGGAGAGGCACGGACACTTGACTTTGGCAGATCTCTTGTGAGTTCAAGGTCAGCCTGTTCTACAGAATGAGTTCCAGGACAGCCAGGGCTACACAGAGAAACGAGTCTCAAAATAAATAAAAAAAAAAAAAAAAAAAAAAAAGTGAAAGGACAACCTATAGAATGAACAGAAATATTTGCTGGCTAAATATATAATAAGGAGTCATACTTAGCATATTTAAAGAATTCCTAGAACTCAATGAATAGGCACCATTTTTTGTTTGTTTTGTTTTGTTTTTCAAGACAGGGTTTCTGTGTCCTGGAACTAGCTCTTAAGACCATGCTGGCCTTGAACTCACAGAGATCCGCACACCTCTGCCTCCCTAGTGCTGGGATTAAAGGCGTGTGCCACCACCGCCCGGCAAAACCCTATTCTTTAAAAAAAATAATAATTAACTAATTAATTAAACCAGATAAAATACTTGGAAGACATCTCCCCAAAGACACACAAATGGCCAACAAAGAAAGAATGCACACCAATAATTAGAAAGGAACCAAAAGATTGGGGGGGGGGGGTGAGAGCGTTTGGCAAAGGCTTTGTTAACAAGTAGCCCAGAAACCCTACAACCCTCGCAATCCTTTTGTTTCAAGCTTATCCAAGTCCAAGCTTCATCCACCCGATAAGGATCTAAAAGGCAAGGCGTGCTGAGCTAGACCTGAGGGAGTCAAGACTCTTAAACTACTACCCTGGTTGGTTTTGGAAAGAACTTCCCCTGGAACACAACCACACTAATTTACATATTGCCTATGGCCACTTCAGCCCTAGGAAAGAAACACTGAGCGTCTGTAACAAGTCGCCTTTAGTAGAAACCAAATTCTTCACCTTTGAGAACGACCTGGGGTATCAGCTTCATCATCTTGTCTTCGAAGGCCTTCTTTCATGTCTGTGAGACTGATATCCCAACACACTAGCCAGGCCTCTTCTTTCCCTCAACTCTGTGTTTTATTTATGTGCATACTTACGGTGGCTTTTCTGGGTCAGCTACACCTCTCCTGTGTGTGCCCACATAGCAAGCTCCCTTCTTAAACCCTGGGCCTACCTCAAGCCATATTCTCGGCCAATGCGGGAAAACACAGGGGTATCTCTTCCTTTTCCGAAATGCATTCTCCCCGGTCCTTGCCTTAACTTCTGTTCCATCTTTAGCGTCGATATTTGGAAAGTCTTTCTTGACCATCCTCCCTAAATGAGGGCTCATCTTTTTCTTGCTCTTTCTATCGTATTCTGTCGCAACTTTTATTTACATGTTCGCTTGCATGACTGTGTTTCATGTTTGGGTCTCCTCGCTGAACTCCGCTCAACAGTACTCTATGTATTGGAAGAAACCAGGTCTATTTCGGTCGTAACGGTTTATTCTTTATCTAGCCCTAGGGGCAGCACGTGAAGACGCTTTTTGAAATAAAAGAAAACCTGGCTACATCGGGTCACTAAATGTGTCAAAGCAAGGAGTTGGTTTTTTTGTTTTGTTTTGTTTTTTCCTCGTTAGAGCAAGTGCACACGTCCCCTCACTTGGCGACTGCTTTCAAAACAAGAAAAGGATGCCAAGAGGCAGACACACATGCCCAAGGGGCGCCCCCGGAAAGAAAAGCCCAGGGCGGAGCGTCCCCGGGCAAAGCCTGGCGCCGGGGCTCGTGGGGCCCGGGTATCATGCGGGGAGGAGCCCGCCGCGGAGCTCCCACCGGCCGAAAAGGACAAGTCCTCACCTGTCGGGTCCTGGCTCATGGGGCCGGGGCAAGGGTCGCCCTAGCCTGCTCGGTGCACACCTCCCCCGGCCCCGCCCACGCCATGCCTCCGGACCCCGGCGTCTGCTGCCACAAACCCCCTGCTTCCGCCCGCTACCGGAAGAGCTGCGCAGCGAGAAGGGAAGTACGGAAGAGCGAGCTGCCACCCAGCTGAGGAACGACGCAGCACACCCTGGCGGCTGGAGGAGGGATCGAGGCTGTCGAGGCTTGGATGGAAAAAACCCTGAGCCTTGGGGATGATCTAAGGCATATTCATAGTAACGTGAACAGGAATTAAGTTTTCACCTGCTTCTCCCGTAATGGTGGGAAATGGGATTATACATGCACGGGGTCATTCTCCGCGCTCACTGCTATTGGTGGGCACGGAGCATACAGTAAAAACTTCTGTGCTAAATGAATCCCGTAGAATTTACTGGCCTTGCACCAACACATGATTTCATTCAATTTCTTACAAGCCAGTTTTTACCTACGAGCCAATGGCTTCTCCTAGGCTGCCTAACCCCAAATTGTCCCACATCAACCTCTTAACCTCTTTTGGATCATTCAAGTCTTTACAAATATGTTCTCTCTCTCTCTCTCTCTCTCTCCCTCCCTCCCTCCCTCCCTCCCTCCCTCCCTCCCTCTCTCTCTCTCTCTCTCTCTCTCTCTCTCTGTGTGTGTGTGTGTGTGTGTGTGTGTGTGTGTGTGTGTGTGATGTTTGTCTTTTGATGTTTTGGCAGGAACCCAAACCTGAAATGTCACCTCTTAAGTCTCCCGAGTCACCATCATCCCTATTTCTTAACCCATAGGTCTAATGCCTGTTTGTGTTGCTTTGTTTTGCTTCTCTGCCCTTTTGATAGAGTATAAGCTGGGAACTGGGGTTTTGTCTTATTTTCTATTCCAGTCCTATAACAAGGTTTGGCATCTTACAGAAGCTCAATAAAGAGACCCTCGGTGAGCCATGAGTGGCGGTTCATGACAAATATCCCCAGCTCTTATGAGACATAGGATATGGAATTTGAGGTCAGGCTGAGCCTTGCTCTCTCCCTCAACTCCCCCAGAAGACTCTGCACACAACACCACGAGGAATGGCTATTGGTTGGCTTTTATGGGGTTGGGGGTGGGAGGGATTGATGCTTAAGGAAGAAAGGTGACTTACCGATATGGAGAGGTTGTAAAGAGAAAGGTAGATTTCTAGCCCAGTCCTAACATTTCCAAGCTGAGTGTTCTCAGGTGCTGGCTTCAGAGCCTCTACTCCCTTTTCTGGGAAATGATTATACCTGCCTCTTAAGGTTATCCACAGTCTTAAATCTGTTATCCTTACATGAAGTCTTGATAAAATATTACTAAAGCTGTTTGGACACAACTCCTCCTTTTCTTCTCCGTGATAAAACTGAGACCCTAAGAGGGGTGTGTGTTCACGGAACAGTAAGCAGCAGTAGGGGTGGCGGCATGGATCTTATAGTCCCAGCACTTAGGAAGCAAAGGCAGGAGAATCAGGAGTTCAAGGCAACAAGTTCGTCAGCCTTGGCTTCAGTGCCCCAATGCAAAGCTCAACAAACACGAGACAGGGCTGTGATTAGCACTCAAGACATCTGTCTCCTTCTCGACAAAGTTAACCTCCCCCAGATCTAATTCCAACCCAGCCAGGTGGGTCCCTGTGTGATGTCAAGGCACGTGTCTGCTTCTCTGAGTCTGTCTTTTTCATCTCTAAAATGTACAGTGTTCTTCTGACTTGGTTATTGAGGGATCAGATAAAAGACTAAATTTAAACTAGTGAATGTTTTGTTTTTTTTTTTGTTTTTTTTTTTGGTTTTTTTGAGACAGGGTTTCTCTGTAGCTTTGGAGCCTGTCCTGGAACTAGCTCTTGTAGACCAGGCTGGTCTCAAACTCACAGAGATCCACCTGCCTCTGCCTCCCGAGTGCTGGGATTAAAGGCGTGCGCCACCACCGCCCGGCTACTAGTGAATGTTTTGAAGATGGAAATAGTTCAGGCCCGCCGCTTCAGCTCGGGCCCTGCCTCAGGTCTGAAAGTAAGATTTCCTCAATGACAGCTGTTTAGGATTAGGAAGCAAATTATCACTTCTGTGTACTTGTGGGAGGGATGGCGTGGAGTCAACCTTCAGAGGAACTATCCTTAACTCACATCATGGAAAAATAACTCCAAATGGATCTGAAACCTACAGACAGGCTAAAGCCTCAGAAGACACCTTAAGCTTAATTCTTGTAACCATGAGTTAGTCCATGGCTTAAATGAAAGCAAAGAGGAAGCATATATCAATGCAACTTCCTTAAAATAAAACAATTGCTGTGCTTCAAAGGACTCTTATTAAGTGGGAAGTCAAAGCTGTGTGTAGCAGAAGCAAGACAATTGTGAGTGAGGCCAGCCTGGCCTACATAGCAAGTTTTGGGCTAGTCCAGGCTACCTGAGGCTTTGTCTCAAGACAAGTAAGACCAAAAAGAATAAAATACTGATTCATGCTATGACATAGATAGACCTTGAAAGCATACCAGATGAAGGAAGCCTGCCACATTTTACTACAGATGATGTGTCTCTGTGAATTCAAGACCACCCTGGGCTATACGAGACTGAATCAGTCTAAAAGAGAAACAGAGCCAACCAGTGGTGGCTCACACTTTTAATTTCAGTCCTTGGAATCACACGCCTTTAATTGCCCTCCTAGAAAGGTGGAGACAGGAAGGGCTATGGCTGGGCAGACAGAGGACTATAATGGAGGAGGAGACAGGAGTTTGACCCTTTTTGGTCTGAGGATTATGTGGAGGTGAGAACTAGTGGCTGGCTGCTCTACTTCTCTGATCTTCCAGCTTTCGCCCCCTAATATCTGACTCCAGGTTTTTATTATTAAGTCCAATTAGAATTCATGCTACAGAAATACCCAGAAGAGACAAATGTATAAGAATAGGAAGCAGGGATATGGGGTGCTAAGAGAGGAATACAGAGATTGCTGGTGTGGGATTTCTTTAGGAGAAATGAAAATGTATTAAGATTAGGTAATGGTGACAGTTACACTTCTACATACATGCTGAATAGCTACACTTCAAACCACTGAACTGAGCATTTTAAAATAGTGAATTTTGTAATCTGTAGGTAGCTCGAAAAGGGTTTTATCATGTTTAGGTGTCTCCAGCTCTGTGGACCACACATCCATTTTTCTGCAAACAAAATAATTTTGTTCTTCTTTACGTCAGAAGAAAGTTCCCTAGTGCACACATGACATGTTTTCTTTATCCATTCCCGTAGCTATAAACATTTTCCATTCCACTGGTCCCCTTGGACCAGTTTCTCTCCACCCACCAGGTCCCGCTCATTGGCTCTAGCAGCCTTTATGAAATAACCATTCTGAAGCCTAATATTAATTACATACTCTTGGGTCTATTAGCCCAGGCTTCTTATTAACTAACTCTTACATCTTAAATTAACCCATTTCTATTAATCTATGCATTGCCATGAGGCTGTGGTTTAATGGTAAGGTTCCGACATCCTCCTCTTTTGGCAGCTATATGGCTTCTCCCTGGCTCCACCTTCTTTTTCCCTGCATTTAGTTTAGTTTATCCACCTACCTATATTCTACTCTGCCATTGGCCAAAGCAGTTCTTTATTAACCAAAGATAATAAAACATATTCATAGCATACAGAGTGGAATCCCGCATCACATTCCTCTGCTGTGGAACACCCAGGTTGGTTTCATGACCTGCTAAAATAGGTTGGTGTTCAGGTAAAGATAAATTACCTAAACCAGCAGGACTGGCGATGTAGCTCAGTGGTGTGCTACTTGCGTAGCTTGTGTAGCACGTGGGAAGCTTTAGGTTCTATCCCCAGTACAACAGGGAAGACGGAGGAGGAAAGGTCAGAAAGAAGGGAATTCCATCCCTGTAGATACAGAGCCAGTTTGCCAGGGTCCCTGACTGCAGGGGGATAACAGAAAGATGAACAATAGCCCTTCTCTTCCCCAACAACCATCCTTGGTTTCTACACTTTCTCTAAGAGCCCGTTCCTCAAGCTCATAATGTGACTGAGAGTGACCTAGGACTCCTGAATCTCTTTTCTCTACCTTCTTGGTGCTGGGATTACAGATGTGCACCACTATGTCTCATTTATGTGGTGCTGGGAATCAACACCAGGGCCTCGAGAGGGCTAGGCACTTTATTAACTGCCCCACTTCTTTACAAAGATATTTTAAAGGAGTGGGCCTTGAAGTGAGCCTAGTTCATCTTCCAAAATGCCTACCCATGAATTCCTTAACTCACCTGCATCTCAACCTTTCCACCTAGACAATTAGAGCAATAAAACTGCAGTCCATATATTATGATTAGAGGCAGGGGGATAAAATTAGTTATAAT